CGGCAAAGACCAGGAGCTTGCTTACAGGTGCGCGGACTCCTCCCTGGGGCCCCTCCGTGGCTCCCGGAGTACCACCCGCGGGCAGCGGCCATCCTGCTCACAGGGACCTTGCTGCGGGAACTGTGTACAGCCACCTGCACAGCCTGACTCAGGAGTCGCAGCAGAAGGGCAGGAGGAGCAGGACAGTTAGAAAGCTCCCWACGGAGGGGAGGGAGACAGGAAGCAGAGGACAGCAGGGTGAGGAAGAGAGGGGACCCCAGCCCGACCCTCCCAGCACCGCTGCCCAGCCTCTCCCCCAAGATGATGAGCCTTCAGGTCAGCGGACCCGTGGGGACACAGCGCAGCTCAGCTGCCTCCAGACCTGGCAGGTCCCTCTCCTGGGCGCAGCGGGCTGCTCACGGCGGGACCTTGGGGGCCGTATTTGGACCCAGATTAAAAACCAAAAGTACAAGGATATTTTTAAGATAATCAGGAAAACTTAAGATAAACTCAAGTGTTGCACTAAGAAGCCTTGGGAACGCTGTGGCTGGGTAAAAGCGCTGTGGTGACATAAGGACGCGTTCCGGGTTTTTGGAGAGGCCACTGGGGCTGATGTGCTATACGTAGGTCAATGGCTTTAAAGTACTTTAGTGACCACACAAAAAAGACAGAATGGACAAAACAAGGATAAGTAAGATGTGGAAACTCTTGATTCTCGGTGGCTTACATTAATGTGTGTGYGCGCGCGTGCACATGTGTATATCCACACTCCGTACACGGATGTGCACACGTGGGCTCACTGCTGCAGTCTGCTGTCGCGCCTGATGAAAAGTTTTGATCAACAGTTTGAAGAGATTCCCGCGCAGAGGCCTGACAAGAGCCGGGGCTCTGGGGACCCCCGTGTGTCACTGCCGATCCCCATGCTGAGCCTTGCAGCAGGCACTGCTGTAGTCCCCATCTACAGACTGGGAAAGGACAGAGCAACCACTTCAGGACGCGGCCCACAGGCCTGCCAACCACCGTGACCCCACCGGGCGTCAGAGGCCAGGGGATTTCAGGTGCTGTGGGCCTGCACCTCACAGAACAGGTTCACAGCCAGCTCAGAGGCCGGAGGGCAGCCTCCAGGCCTGACCGGGGTCTCCACAAGCCACAGACAGGGGACAGAGGGGAGACCAGGGAACCAGAGAGGAGTATAGGGGAGTGGAGGGGAGAAGCTGGAGAACATCAGGAAGGACAGAGGGCAGGGAACATGCTGGACTAGAAAGACGGAAAGAAGAGCCGGAGGGTCCAACAAACCCCCAGGCCTCCTTCCACTCCTCCCCAGCCCAATGCCAGGCAGAGGTGGAAGGCAAAAGGACAGGCCAGACAGGACACGTGATGCCAGGGCAAGGTCCACCCGTCACTCGCCCCCTCTCCAATCCGCCTCCATCCTTCCCTAGGACCATGGCCCTTCAAGTCAGAGCTCGGCTTCTCCTCACCAGCTCCAAGCTCAGGAACCGGGAAGGAGGAGAGGGGAAAATCATGCAGAGAGGCCAACTTTTTTTTTTAAACAACTTGGCCAAGATAAAACTCCTCCCCATCAGTGAGAGGAGAACCCACGAGGCTTCACCCCCAGGAGCTGAGGCTGGCCAYGTTGACCTCAGACTGTAGGAGCCTGAGCTCCTGGGCCAGGGAGCCAGGCTGTGATGCCAACCACGGAGAACACACTGGGGGCTGGAGGTGTGCCAGGGGGCACAGACGGGGTCCGGGGCTCAAAGGAGAGAGAGGGACAGAGGACACAGAGGACGRGCCGGCCCTCAGTGCACTGCAGAGGCCGGCGGGTGCTGGGGTGGCAGCCTCACCCCCTCGACCAGTTGGGTCTGAASGGGGAGCCTCCCTCCTTCCATAGCAGCATCTAGCCACAGGCCACCGAGCAGGGGCAGCCCCAGCGTCCCTCAGCTGACCATGGGTAACCAGGACMCGGCACAGCCACACCACGGGGGCTACGGCCCTACAGAGAGCAGGGGAGCTCCGGCGCAGGTAGACCCAGGCAGACAGGGAGGGCGTGGCACAGGGGGTCACGAGTCAAAAGGCCACTCGTGCCGCATCCCACAGAGGCAGGAAGTGGATCAGTGGTTGYCAGGGGCTGGGCGGGCAGGGGGACGGGGTGGGCGCAGAGACTCTGGAGAGTGATGAAGACRTTGTAAAATCTGACGGTGGAGCCCTGTGCTGCTCACCCACCCAACACGGGAGCTGGGCGCGTCCAGTGGGGTTGAGTTCACGCTCTAAGAAATGCATCTCGATAAACCCGCAAAGAAATTTGCAATTTTTGACTATCAGTAGAGGGATGATTACTTTCCCTTCCCTTGCAAAGGTTTTTAGWACAAAATCAGAAGCAAAAAAGCATTTCACATAGATGAGAGTGAACCAAACACCACAAAAATAATAAGAGAGCAAACCATCCACCTCCTCTGTTACYGGCCACGACCTGAGGCACAGGGTGAACTGGGTCTATGCAGCGGGGACATTAGCCTGCCACGGGCTCCCCTCAGAGCCACACTGCGCCTGCTTCTCCACCCCCGCCCCCATAGTGACTCTTGACCATGGGACTCTAAAARTCGAGGAGAACTGGGGATCGGAAGCCACGTCCCTCCCTTGGGTCAGTCTACACTCTCTCGCCTGCAAAGAAAGCCCAGAAGGATCTGGAAGAACCTGTGGTCTYACAGAGACCTGGCAGTCTCCATGACTTCTGGGGACAGAAGTGCGTCACCCTCGCTGCCCAAGGGGGAGTGGTCCCAGCACCCCTGCAGACACCAACCTCCACGGATGCTATTTCCACATTAAAAGGCACAGATCTTCCCGTGAAGTCAGCGCACCTCCCGTGCACTCTGCACCACCTCTAGATCCCTTAAACTATGAGAGTGGTTTTGAACACGGCTGTCGTGCTGTAGTTAGGAGCCGGACTGTGACCCTGAGCCTCTCTCTGGAGCCCAGACACGATGGGTGATATTTTCCAGCCGTGGTACGGAGATCCGTGGATGCAGAATTCGTGGACGTGCAGGGCTGACTGACTATAGACCCAAATGGAGTTCCAGGGCACGGTGATTTCTTAGAATTTTAACAAAGTCATTTCCTCCAGCCATAAAATAATTTAAAAGCTGAGACACACGCTCCCCAGCAAGCCCTCCAAGTGGTGTGGGTGGCAAGCCAGGCACAGCGGGGAGGAAGACCCAGCACCCACCCGCGGCCGTGCTGACTGCACCTGCAGACCCTGGACCAGCCTGTACCAGAGTCAGCGCTGCGGGCAGCCGGGCTACCAGGAAGGCCCCCGGCAGGCAACCCAGCCCTGGCTGAGAGGGAAGCGTGTTCGGGAAACACGGGGACAGTAGGAACTCTCTACAGGGACCRAAAACAAGAAGGTGGCAAAAAGGCTGTAGGTCTAACCCGACCGGAGRACAGTGCCCGTAGACAGACCACCAGCTCTGGAAGGTGGATGAGCCCATGTTCCTCATGGGCTTGGAGGGCTGTGGTCACAGGGAAGGATGGTGGCAGTTGGGGGCTTCACCAGCCCTGGAACGCCACACTACAGAGTTCCCAAGCAACCCTGCCTCCCTGAGCACCGTTAGTGAACCAGAGCACCCCTGCACCCCAGGACACCTGCACCAGGACACCTGGACACCCCTGCACCCCAGGACACCTGCACCCCAGCACCCCAGCATCACAACACCAGAAGAGACCAGCACTGGCTAGAATTGGGCATGACCAGGAAGAGATGGTCCCTGACCTCTGTCCATACAGGTGGTGTCCTGGTGACCCACAGAGTAGAAAGTTGAATGACCTACAGGGTAAGAGCAGTGCAGTGTTTGGGCTGGGAACGTGGCTCAAGCGGTAGCGCGCTCGCCTGGCATGCGTGCGGCCAGGTTCGATCCTCAGCACCACATATCAACAAAGATGTTGTGTCCGCCGAAAACTAAAAAATAAATACTAAAATTCTTAGTCTCTCTCTCTCTCTCTCTTAAAAAAAAAAAAAAAAAAAAAAAGAGCGGCGCCGTGGTCCTGATGATCAGGAAGTGCATAAGAGACCACCCACCACAGAAACTGATGGTGTCCAGTGACCGAGCCCCACACGCTGGAGGAGCCAGCCGCCCTTGGGAGACGTGTGCCAGCCCCCAGCGGCCATGCAAAGCCAGCAGCARGAGAGGCTGAGGAGCTCTGAGCATGAGGGAGGGGAGCCCCACACCAGGGCCCAGGGACCCAGAGACAGCTCTTTCCTGGCTACCAGGGGCCCCATCCTTTGCCTGGACGGTGGGAACTTCCAGGAGCAAGCTGCGCCCTGCAGGTGCATGCCAACCCCCCACTCSGGCCCCAGGTGTTTTTGCTTCTGATAAGGGCTCCAGAGAACAGGACAAGGAGCCACTCACACCAGCCAAAGTCGCCCCCTCAGTCTTCTAGTGACCTAATGTGAACTCTGCTGACGATCACCTCACTAGATGCTTCTCGGTCCCGGGGWGTTCCTGTCCCCCGTCTTTGAATATGCGATGCACGGAGAAGCCTGATCTTGAATTCAGCGTGCCCAGGAGTGTGCGCACCTCTTTCGAGATGCTGAGTCTTCCCAGGGTGCCCAGGGACATGTGCCCTCTCTGTTCAGGGAGTCGTGCTTTGGGAAGTACCCAGTGCACCCCTCACATGCTGCAAGTAGTCAAGCCCTCCGACCTTCACTTCCYGGCTCTGCTTATCAGCTCTGCATCCCCAAGAGGTGAACCTCTGTGTTCAGCTCCACTTTGATTTTGGGCAACCAGCCCCCAAGGAGACTTAAAACCCAGCTGAACTCGTCTGTTTCCCAATAGCTCATTCGCAGGACGCATGATGAGAAACGCAAGTAAGCATTAGGCCCCCTACTAGGTGCACAAAATCTCCTCCATTCCCACCAATAAATAGCTAGGAAGGCTACGGAAGCGCCAGGGGTTATATTTATAAATCACACAGCCCCGCCTGACTTCACCACTGCAGTCACCGCAGGCCACGGGAGCAGCAGGACTCACCGATTCTCTGATTGAAAATCTTGTCGAAGGTTATCTCATTTCTCTCCTCGAGATACTTCTGCATCACGTTCCGGATGCTGAAAGAGAAGACGGCACGTCTTTAACCACACGGACCTCACCGAGACAACCATCCCCAGGAGGGAGCAGGGAGGGGGGCCTTCCCAAGACACTCGATATAGGGGAGACCCTTCCTGCTGTCACAGGGGCCGGTGACATGGCTGAGCAGATCAAAGCCAGCAACTTCCTGACTGGCCAGCCACCTGCTCTCCCGGGACTGGGGGCCAGCCTTCCAGGTGGGAATGCCACAGCACCCCTGGGGGCCCTGGAGACCCTTCGCCCTCCAAAATGGTCTATGTGCCTGTGTGCACACACACACCAACACACACACACCAACACACACACACCAACACACACACACCAACACACACACACCCACACCAACACACACACACCAACACACACACACCAACACACACACACCCACACACACACACCCACACCAACACACACACACCAACACACACACACCAACACACACAGCCCGGAGCGCACGACACACATGCACAGGTCCCGCTTGTCACTTCATGAGCTTCTTTCTGAAACAAACGTTTCACATATATACAGAGGAGCTGCTGGGTCACAGGTGTGCACCACCTCGCCCGGCTGTGTTGAGCTTTAATATAGAACAGAGACAGCGAGATGCAAAAATGGAGAAGGGATGGATCATTCAATAAGTGTTTATTCAAATGGCATAAGGAGAAGATAGAATCTCCAGTATCCAGACAGTGGAAATGAAAAACGACTCAGCATCACTCTAAGGTGTAATTTAAACATAATTAAATGTACATACAGTGGATATTGTTCAATGAGCCTTTACAAATACGCCCTTGCAACTACCCTCTGATAGCAGGTAAAAAACCTTCCAACCCCCTCCTAAAAAAGGTGCCCCTTTGAGCCCATTTCCCTGTATTCTAGATCCACGCAGCCACTGGTCTGCCCTYTGTCCACACGGGTTACGTGCTCCGGTTCTAGACTTCTAGGCAGAGGACAGGATGCGATGGGTCTTCCGTGTCTGGCTTCACCCACCTGCTGTGTGCCACCCCTCAGTCCCTTTCCATGGCACGGAGCATGCTGCTCTGATTAGCCCACAGTCAATTCACGCATCCGCCTGTTGATGGACATCCGTGATGCTTCCAGTGGGGGGCTATTAGGAATAAAGGTGCCTCAAATATCTGTGTATTCATCAACTTATGGGTGTGCRTTTCCATGTCTTAGGGTCAACAGCCCCAAATTGAAATTGTTGGTCACGTGGTRAAGTGGTGTATTTTACATCCTGGGGAGTGGCGGGACCACCTCTGTTCCAAGCTGGGCTCCCACTTTACATTCCCATCGACGGTGCAGGACGGCTCCAGGGCTCCGTGTTCTTGCCAACACTTGGGTTGCTCATCTTTTTACATTTAGCCACTCTGTTGAGCATGCAGCACCATCCTATTTTAATTTGTCTTTTAACTTGCATTTCCTTAATGGATAACGGCAATAAGCAGGTTGGTACATGATTATTGGAATCCATACACCTTCTTTTATGATGTGTGTAGTCAAATCTTTTGCCTTTTAGAGGAACTGATTGTTCAGTGGTGAGATGTCTTTATGAAGCCTGGCTCCATAGAGAAGGGCTATGTCAGATTCCGTGATGCTAATATTCTCTCCCAGGTAGTGCCTTAGCTCTCCATTTTCCTCAGGGAGTCCTACCAAGRGTGGGATAGTGAAGCTCTTCCATCAGTTTCTTGGTTATTTCTTTGATGGACACTATGCTAAGAAGCCGTGACACCCCAAGGTCATGAAGATTTTAATCTGAATTTTCCTCTAGGAGTTTCAGCTTCTACATTCAGGTCTAATTTCCATTTCAGACTGATTTTTGTGCATAGTGTAAGGCAGGAATYGTCATTTCTGGTCTCTTCATAATCCCTCAGTGTCCCAGGGTCACTTGTTGAAAAGGTTACCCGCCCCCCCGCCTCAATCATCTTGGTCCTCGGTTGGTTCAACACCCAGAACCTGCAGGTCTACCTTTGGACTGACCTGTGGCATTGATCTTTAGGATTCTCCTTACGTAAACACTGTATCGTCTGAAGTGCTGTTTTGCTAACTTCTCAAGAAGGTGGATTGACAWATTCAAATATCTCTAAGGCAAGCATTTAAAGCCCGGGATTCCTTCTCGGCATGGACTGAGCTGCACCTCACGGATAATGATTCATTCTATTTTCATTTTCATTCAATTCAAATTATTGTCTAATTTCCCTTGGTCCTTGTTCCTTGACCTGTGTGGCTTCATTTCCAAACACGTGGAGACTTCCRGTTACCTTTCAGTTATTGGATTTCAGTTTAGTTCTTTGGTGTCCACGGAGCCTATGCTGAGCGAGTCGGTTCCTTCCAGATTTGCAGACGTTCGTTTCGTTGGTTGGAATGGGATGGGGCTTGTGGAGTATGAACAGAATGTGCGTGCTGTCGTGGGACGGACCCATGGGTGAATGTCAACTGGGTCCAGCTGGTTGATAGTGTCCAGAGATTTTTGTTAGAGTCTGTAAACAAGTCAGGATGGCGCCTGGCAAAATGCCAGAGGGAGTGGTTTGTGAGGTGGCGCCAGCGAGCCATTAAGTGTGGAGATTCCTGATTGGTTGACTGCTGTATCGAGTTTATGCTAATTAGATAAGCTGTGTGGAATGTATAAATACCCCTCCTGTCCTACAATAAATGGCTCCCACTCCTGCTGTATCMATCTACACAAGTTGTTCGTCACCCCCTGGTTATTTTGCTGCAGCCGGACTGCGGCAGATTTTTCTGTGTTCTCACTGATTTTCCGTGTCCTCCTTCCATACGTGACTGAGAGGAGAGCGCTGGAGTCCCCAACTGCAGCGGTGACTCCGTCCACTGCTCCTTCTGACTCTGTCTCTGGCATGGACTTTGCAGCCATCAAGCGCATGGGCAGTTGAGGCTGCAGTGCCTCTGTCAGTATGGTGGCTGGTGACACCTGGTGACGGGCAGATCAGCCTGCTTCACCAGCCGTGAATCGGGTCACTCCAGTGAGGGTTCACGTGGGGTCGTCGTTGTCTTTTTTACTTTCCAGTATCTCTGTCTATTGGAAGGGAGAGTTGAGTTCACCACACACAACACAYGGCGCTCTCCCCTCCCGGTGGCCACCTCTGCCGTTGAGTGAGGTGTCTACACGAGTTAATGTCATCCRGGCAGGTTTGGACAAGTCCATTATCCCACCAGAGGTTTTTCCATCTGTCCTTTTCCTCTATAGCTTTCTTGAGCTGTAAATGATATAGCACATGACGTCGTAAGGGTAGCTGGTTTCTATTAAACTTATGTCACCTCAACTCAATTTGGGGGGGGTACCAGGGATTGAACTCAGGGACACTCAACCACTGAGCCCCATCCCCAGCCCTATTTTGTGTTTTATTTAGAGACAGGGTCTCACTGAGTCGCTTAGTGCCTCGCTTTTGCTGAAGCTGGCTTTGAACTCGCCATCCTCCTGCCTCAGCCTCCCCAGCCCCTGGGATGACAGGCGGGTGCCACCGCGCCCAGCCACAAGACACCAATTTTTTAAATGTAAACAAATAGAAAGATCAGTTGAGGAGGGGGAACAGAGGAAAGGCAGAGGGGAGGGAAAGGGTAAGCACTGGAATTCTATTCCATGCATTTGTGATTGTGTCAAAATAAATCCCAATGTTATACATAACTATTATGAGCCAACAAAATAATTTCAGAATAAAACAAAAAATAAAAATCTAATTTGGGGCTGGGGCTGTCACTCAGGGATAGCACTTGTAGCACATGTGAGGTTCTGGGTTCCATCCCCAGCGCTGCCAAAAAGAAGAGAAAATGTCTAACCACCCTAGGAATCCATCCCAGGCTCGTATCTCCTCCCTACAGTTCTTGACTATTACACTCTACTAATAATTTTCTTTGTTGTACTATTTGGTTCCTATTTGCATTTTAAATATTTCACGTTTTATTTTTAGTTGAAAGAAGGTAGCTGCTTCCCCATGATACATAGAATGAGTAATTTCATATGTATCTTAGATTTAAGTACRAAGCCTAAAACTACAAAACCTTTTAAAGGAAACAAATGAAAAAAATCTTTGTGACTGGGTCAAACAAAGACTTCAGACACAACACAAAAGCACCAACCAAAGACAAGGATTGATTAGATTTCACCAAAATGAGTAACTTCTGTTCCTCAGAAGAGCACTTCAGAGAATGAAAACGTAAGCCCGGACAGAGAGAAAATACTGGCAAATCATACCCTGATTAAGGATCTAGATCCAACATATATAAAGATCTCTTAAAATTCAAGAACAAGAAAACAAAATATCCTATAAAATTCGGAAATTATCTGAATGGACACTTCAGGAAAGAAGATCGATGGAGGACAACTAGGCACATGGAGACAGTTGACATGGTGCTCGCTTGGGCGAGGCACCTGAAATCAAGTGAGATCCCCCTACACATGCTACTGGAAAGTGTGGCTACAATACAAAGGACCATACCAACTGTTGGCAAGGACACAGAACAACTGAACTTCTCCTGCGCTGCTGGTGGGAATGTAAAATAGGGCACAGGCTTTGGAAAAGTGCTTGGCTACATCTACCATGTGACCCACCCACTCCACTCCTGGGTATTTACCCCAGAAAAAGGAAATGATGCGTCCATACAAAGATATGCACATGAATACTCTCAGCAGCTTCATCTCAGACCGTCAAAAACAGGGATCAAGGGGCTGGGGCTCAGCGGGAGAGCACTCACCTAGCACATGCGAGGCCCTGGGTTCAATCCTCAGCACCACATAAAAATAAATAAATAAAATAAAGGTATGGTTCCATCTACAACCGAAAAATAAATATTAAAAAAAAATAACAGGAATCAATGCCAGTGCCCACWCGAGATGACGGGATCTGGAAATGGGCCTCTCAGGACAGGGAGTTGCTTGGACCTGATAAAGGAATAAACCATCCACACAGGAACAACAAAAATAACTCTCAAAACAGTCATTATGAGTTAAAGAAGCCGGAGCTCC